AAAATGATCGGCGTCGGCCGTCAATAGTGGCCCTGCCGAAGCACCAGAATGGAACCCCCGTGGTCCACGGTCGACAACTACTTTTTGTGATTGGTGCCGTTGATTGAGCCGCAGCGCTTTGGCGATGGCCAGACACAATGAAGACGGTGGTCAGCGCTGTTTCGGACGTTCACTGACCGATGCACAAAAGATTTCACACTTTCGTGCACTGCTAAAGGTGGGAGGGGACGACGACCGTACCGCGAGCACTTACTTATGTTAGAGGTCGTTCTTGTGATGAAGCCGCAAGAGGAAGTGCAGGGAGTAGCGCGATTGGTTAATAACGCGTACAGTAGCGCCTGCACAACTTTTGGGTGCTTTTAAACTAACACGTTTTTGACTAAGGTTCCATATTTCCATACGACGATAGTGCAACAGCATATTTGCCCATAGCAGCTACGTTACATCAGTTGATGAAGCTTTGAACGATTGTTGCTGATTCGCTTGACGTCATTAAGATTGCAATTATATAACAGCAAAAATATTTATATCTTCCACTTGTGAGGTCGTACAGTTCAGGTTTTCAAGCTGGCTCTATTCCCTTGAACACCTTTGTGACCAATATGAAATTTGAAATTGCACATGGCCTGTTGAGAGCTGCACTGTTGAGAACTTCATAACAAGTAATGACCTTTAAGTAATGACGACGTGAATATATGGGACGAAGACTATAGTCCATGAAGGTTGGCATCCTGAATGAAATGCCAACGAAACTTTCCAAAAAACGCTACGCATAAAAGAATGCCAGGGACGCAAGTACAGGCTATTGTATCAGCTTGCCAAAACTGGGATCACTAACTATCTAGTGATGGTCAGGACAAGACTGACAAACGGTAAAATCATATCATCAGGAACTTGTTGGCTAGCCACGTTATCAAAAGCTGTCGTTAGACCCGATCACTTATATCTGCATCACCAAGGCGGAGAAAATCAAGTAGATAACCCAAGATCCTGCCGAACCTGCCACAGAATGGAACAACGGCGTTCAAAAGTTCCTCAGGAAGACGTTTAAAAACCGGGGTCTGGCAGGCGCTGTAGGATTCAACGTATGGAAAAGGGCCGTACCTCTAGTAATCAGTTGTGACCTCAGGTCTGAGGTGGAGAAGAGAATTTCACGAAAGATAATCGAACTTCATGACCAAACAGAGGAAGTGGAGCAATTCGAAGAAAAACTGAAGAACGCAATGCAAAGGATGTCCAAGGAGATTTCAAAGCCATAATAGGAAAGGAAACAACCAAGATAGAACGAGTCATCAACCGGTTTGGACGTGAACAGCCTCCCATTTCGTAGCACGTATCCAAACTCCCTGACGAAAGTAGCCACCTCCACGACATGAATACCATGCTTGAAAAAGCCAAGAAGCAACAATGAACTTGGAGGAACCCAAAAACGAACGACCCTTAACTCATCGACTACGTGCTGACGAACAAAAGATGGGTAATAACAGATGTGTACATGTGTCATTAACCGGAGAAAACATCGCTTGTATAAGTCAGACAACGGACTACTCCGCTCCAAAGTCACAATCGATGTCGCTTTAAAAAGAAGTGCATTAAAATGGCTCTAAGACCACCGGTCATTCGAAGAATATTCTCTTATGAAGATTTCGCAGACAAGTTTCCTCAGCTGAGCCTCGACGCAAACTACCAGCACCTCATCGATGCCATCGAGTCCATCCAGCTAGGCAGTCGTGTCGATGAGGCAACAACGCACTAACCCTGTAATGAGACAGCTGTTCGCCAGTATAGCCAGAATGAAGGATAATAGGCAACTGGATAACAAGTGTACTGCGCTGTGCAGTGAAATAACCAACATTCAGGAACACGAAGCTGAGACAGACCGCAAGAATAGCCTGAAGGCCGCAGAAAAGAGCACCTTTCTAAAAAAGGCGGATTTTGGTAGCAGAACCTGTCGCGTGAAAGCTATATGTAGGAAGGAGATACTAAAATAATCTATACTCCTCGAAAGTAGAGGTAAGCGGGAAGCTGTTACACGTCGCCCAGAAATCCGTTCTCGATGTCACCTGAGACAAAGTAGAGTGGGCAATCAGGAATATCAAGAATGGCAGATGCGGCTTTAAACCGGAACGTCTTAAGTCAGGAGGAATGACCCAATTCAGAGTCCTTGCCGAACGATTTACAGGGCACATCAGGTTGAAGAAAACAAATCTTCTATTCAGGAAATAGTGATGCTGAAGACATCCAAAACCATCGACCGACCACTCCCCTGACACAAGTCTACAAAGTCTTTACCCGAGTCGTTCTCAACCGTATTTGGAAAGAACGGAATTGCTCGTTAGCGAAGAACAGGCCGGTTTCCAAACAGGGTTCTTGACCGCAGACCACATCGCGTCTTTAAGCAGTTTACAGAGAGGTGCATGAATACCAATTCCTATACCAATTCCTACTTTTCTACGCGTTCATCGACTTCAGAAACGCGTTCAGTTCTATCGACCTGAAAGCTGCACAGAAAGTATGGCACGACTGCGGTATTAAACTTGTTTACGTCAACCTGAGCGAGGAACTGAATATTGACATTGCAACATGTCAAACTGTTCGAGGAACCGTGTCGAATCAACATCAAAACAGGAGCACCCCAAAGAAACGCAATCTCTCCTAAACTTCTCACTGGTTTCTTCATCGCGGGCCACCATCCCTCATCGCATTCATTTTGGTGCCCTTTCATCCATAACACTATTTATTAGTTCCGTAGGGATGTCGTCACTCACTGTTCATCTACAAGCCGTGTGAGAGCTCCCCCTAGAGTTGTAGGTAAGGGAATCGCTGAAAGAAGAGGATGAGTGCTCTGTTGATCAAGATTGCGGGGATCTGTTGTCATGGCTGGTGCGACTGAGGATAAGAAGCGGAAACAGTGACGGAATGTGACGGAGATCTTTAACTGTTGTTCTCATTTAAGGGGAGGCTCAATGTCTGGCCTCTTCGGCAGTGCCTTCTCTACTCGTTGCCTACTCTTTTTAGCCTTGTTGCAACCAGACGGCAGACACGGTAACTGTGATGAATGCCACTTGGCACGGGATAATCGATTTTGGCCGATTTCAAGGACGCCACCGCGTATGGGTAGACGGCAATACACAAAACTATGGCGCGTTGCGAGATGGATAACAGGCAAATTACGCAAATGAAGGGTCTCAATTAGCGTTCGTTTGAGTCGACGAATAATTTTACGCCAGCCACAGAGTGGACAATTAAGCATATATTGCGAGGCTAGAGCCTCACTCATTGGCCG